CTTCAGGTTTGGAATACAATGCCTCGCATAGTAGCTTCCCTCCATCTGTTTTGCATATAATGAAGGCTTTCATGTATTTTCTTCCTCTTTCTCAGTCATTTATTTGGTACTTAATGATTCAGAAAAACTTCTGCACTTACTATGATTCTGGTGACAAATGGAGGGTTAGCTTAAGTGCTTACACACTCTTTTTTTTTTTTAACAGACCTTCCCTCTGAGTGATGCAGTTAGAGAGAGAAAAAAAAAGTAGAGTACTTTATTTTCTCTTCACATGGACTCGTACTTCCGGTTATGACATAAAGAGAATCTACTGAGATACTGAAGTTATATATTGCCTCTATACCCAAACAGAATGAAAGCCCCAATGTATTTATATGAAAGCTGCGTTGTATTAAGCACTTGCCAAACAGTGCCTAAAACAGAAAAAAAAGAAAGATGAAGAAGGCCCTTTGCTAAGGAGCTTAAAATGTAATTGTGTGACTAACTGGTGTGCAAGGTATGCCTCACTGCTCTGTCAGGTGCACCCCTAAGTTTTAGGTAATGATAGGCTTGGTTTAAGACACAGTGGTGTTATACGTTGGCAAATGGGGGTAGATGTGTGATGAAAAATTACCCACGCATAGGTGTGTTTGAGCTGAGAAAATGTTGAGAACAACTTGTCTGGTTAATGCAAGACGTGGTGAGTGGCTCTAACAAAAAGAAGCTGCCTGACACATGCTCTCTGAGTCTGACAGAGAAGGGTTTGTTTTCCTTGTATTATAGAGCGAGGTCTGGTGTGTAGAGATGTATGAAGAGATGGACTTAGCTGAAGTGGTTTTATGAAGTGCCAGTTCTGAATCCTCTGGAGGGAACAAGGACTCTGCATAGTAGTGTGTTGTACTCCCAGACCTTTCTCCATGCAAATTTGGCTTCGAGTGAAAGTGGACCATCAGAATAGTTGCAGAGGAATCTCAGACAATATCATGGATAGCAGACAGAGAAAAGACAGGATCTAGATCTTTTGTACAGGAAAAAAAGTCAAGTGTTGAAAATAGCCTGAAAGGGCCTGCATGCAAGAAAAAGGGGAGGATTCCCTAGGCACACATATGGGTGGGAGAGAAAATGGGCGTGCTGCTGGTGGCAACCGAAGGTGGAAAGGAGTAGGGAGAGTCTAGGAAGGCAGGCATAAATTAATGCATTAAAGAAGAGTTCTAGAGAGTTCTAGAGAGAAGGTTTCAGAGTTATCAAAGAGTGCAAGGACTTGATTATATGTTTCTTTTGAAGATGAAATTATTAATGAAGACAGATCGTATATCAAATAGTTCTAAACAAAGAGCTCAGGGTTTTCTGGAAATTACAGTGGGTATGTCTGTAGTGCTCTGTGGCAAATACTTTATCTAGCATCGAACAAAGTAATTATTCTATGAAAAGATACCAGGGGCATAATCAGTGAAGAATGCTCCTGTTTGACATAGTTTTCATCAATCATTAGTCAGCCTTTCTTCTTTCCAGTTTTGTTTTCTTCTGTTTTTGCCTTGCTCAGCTCCAGGCCTTTATTCAGGGTGGTGCAGTTGCACTGGTGCCCCAGCAGAAGTTTATGTGTTGAGGAAAGGAGTTTCCTGAACTGCATCTGCCATAAACATTCCAACTAAACACTACCATCTGGAAGGGCTCCAAAACAGAGACCCTGAAAAACACAGCCCAGCTGGTCTGAGAGATAATAGCCAAATGAGTATAGCTGTCTGCAAGAAATCACGCACAGGGTTTTGGCTTTGACCCTTCTGTCCTTGTATAGTTTGAAATGTGAATTAAATTCATTAGGCTGTTTTTGCCATGCTAATGAAATGGTCTTGCTCAAAGACTAATGGAGACAAGAAATCTGTATGTAATGGCCAGGGAGGTCCTGGATTGTGGCATGGGTTACTGTCTACTCCGTTGCAACTATGACCGCATATCGGCATATAATGTTTCTTTCTATTAATTGTATTCTTAATGATTGATGTACAGCCGATACATAGTGTTGACACTCAAGAATAGATGTTTTTCTTTCTAGGAACTTTGCTTCTTTTCCTTGCAAAGTCAATCAACCAGTTTTCCCGGAGGCAGGGTGACTGCAGGTGTGTGATCATGCAGCATGATGTGGGAGCGTTTCTCTTAACTAGTTTGAGATAGTGGGTGGCTATAATCAAACTCTTCTGGTACAGTGAACTTGAGTACTGCATTGATTACATAGGCAGGACTAGGTTTATACTGTAGGTTCTGGCTCAGACGAAGTTGACAGAAATGAAGTAATTGTTAACATTTAAGTTAGTGAGTGAGATGAGAAGGATTTTATGTGTTTTGTAAGTACAATTCACATCCAGTGGAAATATTCTGCAGACACAACAGATTTTTTTGTAGTCCTGTGCTGAAGTCAGGCGTAGCTCTTTTTATTAGGAAAAGGATTGAAAATGTTCCCCCTGAGATGCAGAATGCTTTCCAGAGTTCCCAAATAAATAAGAAACAAAGTCAGTGCAGTAACCACTGAAGAGACACAGGATGCTGCTCACCAACAGCCTGGCCGCTCTTGAGAACCTAGTGAAACGGTTTCATATGGCTAGTCCTTCTTTCCCATTGACAGTTTAAGACCTAGTCCCTATAAATGCAAAATTAAACACCATTTCTGCTCACAGCACATTATTTTAATACCTCTACTGTGAACTTTCCTAAATTTCCTTGTGTTGCTTTTTCCTATCAGAATCTGAATCCCCCATCTTTGATTATCATTTTAACTCATTAAAAAGGGAAGATTGCCTCTATCTCTCCCTCGTGGAGACAGTGATAGAGCACATTCAGTGTACACTCAGTTTGTGGCCCTTTAAGCATTACATTGTGGCTGTTCAAGGGAGAGCATTTAGAGGAGAAAATGTGAATCTGATTAGGTATAAAAGATGTGCTCTGCTTTCTTTTAAAAATAAAAGCAGACCTATAGCAATAGAAGCAGCAAAAGAAACAACCTTCCCACAGCACTTCTCTTGGTTTCTAGCCAGAGCTGCTCCCTCCACTTGGTTTTGATTACTTTGAACTGGGATTACAGCCGGTGGGTATGAGGGCGCTAGCGTGATCCTTAGGAACACTCACGTCTGTTTTTTACTTTCTGATGATTTCATTATGAATAATGAGATTTTGGATCCTTGCTTCTCACCAAAACCAAGAAGTCCTTAAGCCAGAAGAAAAACTGAGCCCTGCCCGGTAAAATCCCCGTCCCTGTGCCCCGTTTCCTCAACTCCTGGGAATGAGCGAGGGGGTGTTGGACGGCCGCCCACGACACTGGTGCCGCGCTCCTTCCTTGGCACTGAGGAGGCTCTGGCAGAGGAAAACGAAGGATCCAGCGGCTGCGGGCAGACCAGCGCCTTCCTTCGCCTCTTCCCTGATGCGGCGAAGGAGAGAGCCGACGGCCTCCCTCCCTCCCTCCCGCTGCCGCCGTGCCCACCAAGGCGGTGGGCGAGGAGGCGGACGTGGTCTGTGGGCGGACGGAGGCCCGGGGCAGCCGTGACTCCGGAAGAGCGGAGCCCACCTGAGTTAGGCGGACCGGGGGGTGGTTTCGAGAGAATCCAGAGGCTTGGCTGCCTCCGACCGCGTTCTGCCCGCGCGGGCGTGATCCCGGTTCCCCGTTTCACAAAGCACCGCCTGCGTGCCCAGACTCACGGGGGGAACCAGCATCTCTGCTGCGATTCCTCGTGGAAAACCGACGGGCTCTCGGAAGCCAGGATTTCCGCGCCAGGAGGAGCTGGATAACCCCCGAGCAACACCCCCGAGCCCCGGGCGGGAACGGCAGCGCTGGGAGCGCTGGGAGGCGCTGGGCCCGGCCCGGCGTGTCACCGCCCACAGGCCCGCTCTCATTGGCTGAGGGCACTGCCCATCCTCCCGAGCAGCCAATCAGGGTCCCCCCGCGCCGCGGGGACGCCGCGGCCGCAATAAGACGCGCGGTCCGTCTCGCTGTCGGCTGGGTGGCAGTGGCTTCGGCGGTCGTTTTTAGGCGGCTCGGGTTTAGCCCGATAAGTCTCTGGAGCCGGGGACGAGCGCGGTGAGAGGCCGTGGGGGAGGGGGTGCAAGGGCCCTGGGCTCGGGGAGGCTCCCTGCGGGGGCGGCTGGGGGGGTGGCTCTCTCGGAGGGGTTGTCCCGGCTCTCCGGCGAGGGGACCCCTGGGCAGGCAGTGGCTTCCTGAGGGGGCCGCGGCGGTGAGGAGCCTCGTGTGTGCGTGTTGATGTGTTCGTGTGCGAGTCGTTCCTCGCCCTGGCGGCCGCCTGTGTTGGCGTGTGTCCGGGAGGTGCTGCCCTACTTCTGGGTGAGCCTGTCCGTGCTTGGGGAAGGCCGAGGGACGCAGGTGCACCGTATAAAAGGGGCCTTATAAAAGGGTTAGAGCAGGAGCCCTGGAAGTTCTGGTAGTTAGACCTTAAAACTGTGCCTGGCCAAAAGCTCTGCCGGTGTAAGATGTTACGTTGAGCAGTGTGCGCTGCTGTCCTGTGCTCATGTCTCTGTTCTATCGTCGAATGGTCTGCGTTGGAAGGGACCTTAAAGATCATCTTGTTCCAATCCCCCTCCAACTAGACCAGGTTGTTCAGAGCTCCAACCAACCTGGTCTTGAACATCTCCAGGGGTGGGGCATCCACAGGTTCTCTGGGCAACCTATTCCACTACCTCTGTGCTGGGTCTAGGTCTGCTGTCTGTGTCCTCCTTGCTATCTCAGGGATTTCGGTAGATTTCTGCACACTAGAGCTGTGGTAATTGCAGTCCAAACAAATTTGGGGGAGGAAATGATATCCTGGGGCATCTGGGAGGCAAGAAACCTTCCCTTGTTGGAAATGCAGGAACTGTGTGTTCACATCTTTTTGGGAGAAGAAATTTGGTAGCTTTCCCAACGCATGCAAGAGGCTTGTGTTCTATTTTCTTACAGCTCTGAGAGGAAATGATGGTTGGCATAGCCATTTGCAGTTGTGATCCCTTTCTGTGAGTGCTCAGTGTTTATTCTTTCTCTGCAGGTAATGAGACAGGAGTGTGTGGTGGCCTCTATATAAAGCAGCTCTTAAGTCTCTGTGGTGGGATTTGTGTAGACTATTCCTTTGCCATAGCAAAGGTGAGTAGTATTATTTCCATGTGTTGCTCTAAGGCTTTCTAGCTTAAATGCTTCCATAAGCAGACTGATATTTAAAACAACTTTGTGACTGCCAGTCCTTTCTAAATTTGTTGGATGATATGTTTTATGTGGGTGAACTGGAGTTCATGGTCCCCAGATGATATTAGGTCTTTGTATAACTATTTTTTTAAATATTTGTTAAGTTTTTTATTGTTTTGGCCAAAAGTACCAACCAGACTTGTGCACCTCCTCTAATGTTGGGTCTTGGTCTTTTGTTTAGGTCTTAATTTGATTTTGTAAAATATGCAGTCTGTTCCTGTAGATAATACCTCATTGTTCAGACTAATTGTTTGTATCTGCAGAGATAGAGTTTTCTCTGGGGCTACTTATGTGTAGTAGTTCATGCTATGGACACCTGCAATTTTTTAATTGTATCTCAGGGATGTTGGAGAAAGCATTTACATCTAAAGTCAAAGTGGTCTATCTCACACTTGTTTTTGTTATAAACCTGGGATCTTAAAGGGTGTAGTTTAGTGTTGTGTGTGATGTGACATGACACCTGAATCCTAGCAATAGTTGATTTCTTTGCTTAATGTGCAGTTGATTGTTGTGAGTGGAAAAAATGGGCCGTGCAGGGGGTTTTGTTGAGATGTTCTGTGCCATACACAGATTGTGCCCTCTCCCCTTCGCATGAAATAAGACTTTTCTTTGTATTTATCAACTGTCTGTTATGCATCAGACAATATGTTCTGATATTCTGCAAAAATCTCAGTCCTCAAAGGCTTTTTGATCCTGAAGATGTCCCATTAGGCAGAAGTTAAAGCTGGGGAGATTTTGCTTAGTGTCCTTCTGTGAGATTAAAGGACAACTAAGGTGCTGTTACAGTCAAGATTAAATTACTGGGTCTGTTAATGCATTCAGCTTTTCTAGACACTTTTTGAAAGTCTGGTAACAATGAGCTCTAATATTGTGCTGGGTGTTTCTCAAAACCCAGCGTGCATGGGCCTATCCCATCCTGCTGACCTAATTCAGGGTCGCAGTGGGCCTGGATTTGAGACGCTTGGAGTGTAATTGAAGCAGCTAATTTGAGATGATGGGAGCTCCCTTAAGTGTGTCTCTTATGGATTTCTAGTCCAAAGTTGGATGTGCAGAAATTGGACCTCAGCCTTCCATTGCCCATGGTTTTGAGAGCTCTTAATATTCATTTGAGTATACAGCAGTGCTCCCAGTGTGTAGAGTTGTATTTTTATATTTTTCTCCCCTGCTTTGTCCATTACAGTCTAGCCTTTTTCTCAGGTCAGAGTGATCAGGTGGGGCTTTCAGAGTTGCAGTGCTGTGTTAGATGGACCTTTCTGGCATTGCATAATCTGCTTAGAAGATCTTTGACCACCTTGCAGACCCTTTTGACCAGTGGTCAAAATGTATCTCCCATTGAAGACAATCCAGGGGTAATGTTGCTTGGTCAGCAAGAGCAGAGAAAGGTACTGTTTGACCTTATGAATGCGTAGCTCTTATTTAATAAGGGCAACAAACAGGCCTTTTGTGCCCACTGCAAAAGTAAAAACAATCCTGGTGCATGAGAAACTGGCATTGTACATCACAGGCAGAAGAGGAATAACGTATTTGAAAGTCAGGAAGGGGATGGAATAATTTGTGAGGTCATTTCTGGATTCAGTGGCATGAGGACTTGCTAGCTGTACAGTGCATCCCAGAGTGTATGTGTTGTCACACTTGAGTGTGGAGGAATGATGGAGGAGGTGGCCTGCAGAAAAATCAACCAGAGACTGGAATAATTAGCAGGACAGGATGGGGTCATGAGGAAACATATTATGCAGAGCATAATTATGGTGACATCTCCTTTGAGAAAAAAACCTGATAAGGTTCTGTATGTTGCCAGTTCCAGTTCTGTGGTCCTGCTCTCCAGCTCCTCTGGCTGAGGGCCACAGCTGCTGTCTGTGCCTGCATTCCCTCAGAGCCAGTGTGGATCTGGGAAACCCTTGTGTGCTTGAGCTCCACATGATACTTCTGAGTTCACTGGTGAGAGTGAGATCTGCTTCTCTGGGAGCCTGTGATACTGAGTCAGGCTCTCTTAAAGCACTTGAGGGAAACCTGTAGACTGGAACAGCTTGTACAAATCTGCTCCGAATTAATTGGTTAAGTGGGCTAGTTGCAACAAGCTGGGTGGAGAATGGTGCTTCTCTTCCTACACAAGAGTGGGAGGAATTCAAAACCAGAAGACGTAAAACGTAAAAACATACTCAGCAGACACTTGATTCTTTGGTTGTTCTTATTCTGATAGTTGTTTACTTTTTGCTGACATATTGTGCATTATCTGTGGGATGTTTGATATATCTATCTCATGTTTTTGTCCAGATGCATCGTTATTAGATGCCAGATCAAGTTGCCAGCTGTGCTAAGCTGCAATCAAAATGTCTAAGTATAGGCTTGTTCTCTTAAGACATGGGGAAGGAGCCTGGACCAAGGAGAATCGCTTCTGCAGCTGGGTGGACCAGAAGCTGAGCAGCGATGGGATAAAGGAAGCTCAGAACTGTGGCAAACACCTTAAAGCGCTGGGCTTTGAGTTTGACCTTGTCTTCACCTCTGTACTGAGCCGCTCCATCCAGACTGCATGGCTGATCCTGGAAGAGATGGGCCAAGAGTGGGTCCCCATTCAGAGTTCCTGGCGGCTGAATGAGCGTCACTATGGTGCACTGATCGGGCTCAACAGAGCAGAAATGGCTCTGAATCACGGGGAGGAGCAAGTAAAAATATGGAGGAGAAGCTATGATGTTACCCCACCTCCCATATCTGAATCTCACCCTTACTACGAAGAGATATACAATGATCGCCGCTATAAATGCAGTGATGTCTCTCAGGAAAATCTCCCAAAAGCTGAAAGTCTAAAAGATGTGCTTGATAGACTGCTTCCCTATTGGAATGAAAAGATTGTGCCAGAACTAAAAAGTGGCAAAATGATTCTTATCTCTGCTCATGGTAACAGCAGCAGGGCATTGCTGAAACATGTTGAAGGTAAGGGTCTCTTTTTTGGTCTTCCCTCTCTTTCTTACTAAATGACTTGGAGTTTTATATCTTGTTCTGTAATGTATCTGGGCCAGGATGTAATGTTTCTGATCTCCAAGGAGAAAATAAAAAGTTGATCAGGAGTCAAACTGAGGCATGTGGAAGCAGGGAGAGTTAGTTAGGTTAATGTATTTAAGAAAAGGGCCAGATGCTTTCTTCTTGTTTCTCATTGTTCATTTAAAACTACTGTATTCAAACTAATTTTGTGGTTGGTCCAGATAGACAAAAACTCTTCAGGCTTAATTATTTTTGGATTTATTCAGCTGTTTTGTCAGGTTTGAAATCATCATCAGTGATGATGTTCATTAAACAAGGATTGCTGTAACACAGTAGAATAAAAGTGCTTGACTTGGGTTGTGGAAGATGTTCTTTAGTACTACTGTGGTGGGTCACTTTTGAGATTTCATTCCTCATAATTTTTTACTTAAAAGCTGTGTACCAGAGAGTTTTGTAGAGAGTAGGTACTTGCAAAAGCTTATGCAAATACTGTGTTTTTTCCCAATATAGAAAATGCATACTGGTAAACAGCCAAGTTGGTAGCTTAGTGTAAGGTTGCTTATTCATGTTTGCATTGGGAGATACCATTAAAGGCCATCTGCTCCAACCCCCCTTGCAATAAGCAGGTACATCTTTGACTAGATCAAGTCGGTCAGAGCCCTGTTCCACAGGGATGGAGCATCTACTACCTCTCTGGTGAACATGTTCCAGTGTTTTACCAGCCTCATCATAAAATTTTTCTTCCTTATATCTAGTCTGAATCTACCCTCTTTTATTTTGAAATCATTACCGTTTGTCCTATTGCAACAGGCCCTGCTAAAAAGTCTGTACCCATCTTTCTTAGAGGCCCTTGGGAGCCTTCTCTGCCTTCTCTTCTCCAAGCTTAACAAGCCCAAGTCTCTCAGCCTTTCCACACAGGAGATGTGCTCCATGCCTCTGATCATCCTTGTGGCCCACCACTGGTCCTGCTCCAACAGATCCATGTCTTACTTGTGCTGAAGATCCCAGAGCTGGGCTTGGAAAGGACTTATTTGGGACTTGACTTAAAGATAAAGCACATCCTTTGAATTGTTAGATTCTTCCTCCCTCCTTCCTTCTTTCATCTCATGGCTTCCAGGTCATCCTAATCTGGAAGATGGAATATATTAATTTCTTTGTGGGGAGAGTAGATTAATTTATTTAATTTAAGTTTAATGATTATATATGTGTTAATACAGCCTACTGGAGTTGTAGTTGCAAGTATGCACAGACTGGATTGTGTCCACTCAATTTTTTTTTTTTTTTTTAGTTATGAAAAACTAACTTTTTTAGTTATGTGCCCCTATGGCTCTGACTGCTGAGTACCTTTTGCATTTGGCCATGTTGAAACAGTGAAGACAGCTGATGCTTTAGCAGAAATCAGACACTTGAGAAATGAGGATGCACAGGTGGCTTCTGGAACTAGAAAGGCTGTGAATCCTGGGGTCCAGGATGAAGGAGGAAAGCTGGTTCAGTCGGTTCTGCCGATGTTCTCAGAGGTGGTTGTTCTCAGAGGTGGTTGTCCACACTGTGTGAAATGATAAAAATTACAAAGGAAGAAGGGAGAGGCGGAACTGCAACCACAGTGTCTCCCCTGCACCCCAAGAAGTGAACCAGTTCCATGAAACCATAATGGACAAGCCCTTTGGGGGTGAAATGCTGACAGGTGACCATGGCTTCAGCAGAGCCCTTGGGCCACATTCTGTGCAGGCTTGCACTGAGGCTGAAGCTGACGGCACCAGGGATGGGTAAAGGTTCCTTTGGAGTTAGTATGGACTCTTTGCTGCATGAAGATCAGAGAGAAACAATGATGCAAACTTTTCTTTGGGACAGTTGTTAACCTTTTCCAGGACTGCCCACACTCAGCCAAAGCTAGGTTTTGTCTGTCTTAGAGTGCTTGACCCTCTCAGCATATGCTTACAGAGGGAAATGTGAGGAATCCTTGGCAGAGGATCTTCTTCTGTTGACTAAGGACTGTCCATCAGCTGCCCCACAGAAGCAATTGCCAGATACCTGCTGGCTCTCCTGCTGTTTATGTAGTGGAGATTGGATTGCTGAAGAACTGGCCTGAAGGGTAGCATGAACAGAGACCCCTGTTATTTCAACCTGCTTATTTTTTAATTATTATTATTATTATTATTATTTTTAATTTTATTTTTTCTTTAAGAGCTCCTTAGCTGGGTCTAGGAGTTCCTTCTCTGCATTGCTGGCTTTCTCTCCCTCTCCCTCCTGAAAGGTTGTGAGTTGCTTTGGAGTCTTGCTGGAGTTGGACCTGATTCAAGACTGCTTGAAGTTTTGCAATCTACTGTATTTATAGCACCCAATGTGAGATGTACTTTGTTTTTGTGATTTTTTTTTTTTATAAGCTTAGTGTATCCTGTACTTCAGTGGAATTTTCTAGGCCCCTCTAGCTTAGTTGGAACCATTTTTTTTCCTCTTTTTTTTTTTTTGGCATTTTGAAAACTGGGCTTCAAATGCCTCAAGCAGCAATCCTTCATGACTACATGACTACTTGAATGACTTAGTCATAGAGTTAACTTTTAAGTTTCTAAACTACATCTTCCAAGATTAAATGGCAGTAAATATGAATGTTTTCATTCAGTTTGGTCTGATGAAACAATTCTAAGTGTTTCACTCTGAATTTTATTTTAGTTTTTCTAAAAGACTTAAGTGTATCCTTGAAGGTATTATTTCAAGGAGGTATTTTTTTGGAACAGGCCTGTGATTCTCCAAAACTGGTGAAGAGCTGGAAATGTAGTTCTGCTTGCATGCAATCATCAGAACAGAGTATTGTACTAACAACAGGTTTGGATTTTGGTCTTGTTTTCTCAGTGCACAGAGGAGGGGACATCATTAAGGTGTATGAAATGCCTGTAGGATTTGCCATGCTAAATACTCATCCTAGATGCACAGGATATATTTACAGCTGATTTGCTCAATTCTTTGGAGAAATAGTTTTCTCTTTATCTAATAACTTGTGTTTCAGATTGAAAACCTTTTAGCAGTGTCCCATTGTGAAGACATTAGTGTAATACTTTTGACCACCTAGCCCTGTTTGTATTGAAGTACTAATTGGGAGACCAAGTCCAATGGACTGATTTATCAGGTGACTTGCAGAAGGATTAGTGAGCTGTCTCAACTTTTCTTTCCTCCCAACCATTTGACCCTGAGGACTGGTCTCAAGTACTTCAAGACATGGTCCTGTGGAAGGCTTGATTCTCAAGTTTCCGACCTGTTGAAAGGTTGTCATCTCTTAGATATGGTGTGATGCTCACTGAGCCTTGCCATGCTCAAGGTTGAAAACAGAGGAGAGGAGTTACCTGGTCTCTTGAAGATGCAGATGTTGCAGTCACTGGGCTTAACTAGCTGTCACAGAGCTGGGACAGATCTCTGGAACTGACTGGGCTTGCAGGTAGAATGTGGTGACTGTGAAGGCCTCATGCTGGTTTTGCCAGCCTATGAGCAGGGAGAGCAATGCCCTCAGGATTTTACTTTCTTGCAGTACTCTAAGTGTGATACAGTCACAGTATTCTAGTAGTTTACATGCTGGAGCTACACATGGTGTGACCTGGTATGGATTGTGTGTTGAGGGCTTCTTAACAAGATTACTGCTGCTTGACCTTCTTAAGGAAATACTGCTTATGTGCCTGTGGTGTCTGAGTGCAGTTACAGAAAACAGCTTGAGATCTAACAATTCAGTGCTGTTGAAATGAGATGGTCTTGCTCTCCCTGTCGTTCACCCCAGTCTTTGCTGTGTGCTTCTGCTGCTTATTTCTCGTGAGCTTGTTGAGCCTTATTGCAAGTTAACTTGGCCTGTATTTTGGCCACTGCTGAGCAGTGCTCCCAGAGCATCAAGGCTGTCTCTCCAACATTGTCCCCCAGTAGGCTGGGGCTGGGCAAGTTTTTGGGAGGGGATGCAGCCAGGAGAACTGACCCAGTCTGAACTTTGGGTATTCCTAACCATAGGATGTGCTCAGCAGTAAAAGCTTAGAAAAAGGAAGAGGGGCATTTATAATGACACTGTAGCAACTGCTCTGCATACTGAAGCCCTAATTAGTGGTAATAGATTGGACATCACCTGCTGATGGGAAGTAGGGAATAAATCCTTTGTTTTTCTTCACTTCTGTGCTTGGCCTTTGCTTGTGCTTTAGTAAACTGCCTTTCTCTCGACCCACAAGTTTTTTTCCTATTTCTTCTCCCCTCCCATTGTGCTGGGGAGGGGAGTGATAGAGCAACTTTGTGGGTACCTGGTGTCCAGTCGGGGTCAACCCCCCGTAATTCTTTTTGGTGCCCTACTGTAGCCCCCCTACTACCGAAACATTGCCATGCAAGCCTAATATAGACTTGGCAGACATAAGGATGAAACAAATGGAGATGATATGCTGCAGCCATGGTTGTAGCTCTCCCTTTTCTTTCTTTCTTTAAAATCTGCACAACAAGCTAACATTGTGTGAAGACCAAAAGCCAGATTCTAACACTGCTTGCTTCCCTCCTCTTCCCTGTTGAAGTTAGGTCCTCCTTAGCCTACAGGGAGGACAGAAATTGGCTCTGAATATTTAACTTACTAGGGTAAAGCTTCAGTATTTTCATTAAGCATGTGGGAAGGATGCTACAACCTGATTTGGATCTCAGTTACAAAGCACCAGTTCTTGAGCAAGTCCATTGTGGCTGAATTTATGCATATGATCTTGTGTGTTTTATTGGATGAATCATCTGGCCTCAAGTGTAGTTAGCATGCAGGGGAAGAGGGGTGTAGTTATTCTCAGTAGCTGTTGTGGTTTTTGTGTTGCTCCAACCAGAAGAATAGAAGGAAGGAACTTGGTAAGAGCAGGTGAGAGGGAAGGAGAAGCCGAACCAGCCTTTGTAGAAGCTGGCTGCAAGTGCTCAAAATCAGTGGGGTTTGTCTCTGTAGGACTTTCCAGGTTACGAATATTTCAAAGCACTTCTTGGGCCACTACATAAAGGTGAATTCTTAAACTTGCGCTGAGATATTTCTGGTTTCTGTGTGTTTGATCACCCAGTTCAGTTAAATGGAGTGTAAGTGAGCTGGGAAAGAATTCTGAATGTGATTTTCAAAGGTCTTTTTTGTAATAATTGCTGTACCAAATTATTACAGTGTTCGTGTACCAAACTGCTTCCTGCTGTACAGCTGGTGTTAAGGGACAGTGTTTAACATGTGATTGTGAGAGAACATGGGAGATGTCCACTTGAGGAATGTAGTTGCTCAGTCAGCATTTTATCTGGGGTCCTGAGGAAGTCATCCCAAGTATTTCAGTGATGCCTGTGGGTTCTCATGGCTGTAAGTAGGTAGGACCTGGGTTTTAAACCTTCTTAGGTAAAGACTGCTTCCAGCAACCCTTCAGCAGTGCTGAGACCCAGGCTTTGGGATTAAACTGGGGAGGGAAGAGTGTTGATTCTTCAGTGATCTTACTTCCCATTGCACCTTGTAGTCAGCAGTTGAGACCTTGCTCTGATTTCACACTTCTTCTCTGTGAGATATGACAGGTTGTGACACAGGCCAGCTCAGATGAAGTGCAAGAAAAGGTCAGCTGGTTTGAGTTACAGCACGTGAAGTAATTGGATAGCAGTTACTGGATAGCAGATATCCAGTTGCAGTGGCTGGAGTGTGAGATGTAAACCCTTCCCTGGCCTCCTGGCCTGCTGGGTTGGGGAAGTGTTCTGATGAACTCTCCTTGCAACCAAAGAGTTTGTGTGACAATCCTGCTCAGCTTCTTGCTTCCTGAGGAACAGAAATACTTCACAGATACTCTACCAGTGCTGAGATAAAGCCACAGGACACTTGTTTCTTTAGAATTTTCTTCTGACTTCAGCTTGCGTTTCCATGCTTCTGGCTGTGAGGCAACACTCCTGTAGGAATAAAAATCCTGAGGAGAAAGCCACCATGCTTGTTGCAGCATGTTTATCCTAGACTGCACCGTTTTGCTTTGTAAATCAATACTAGTTGACATTTGTGGTCACTTTGTGTTCTGTAAAAACAGTAAAATGCATTTCTGAATCTGTGTAGCTACAGCTAGTTTTGTTTATTCCGCTCCAGAGGAAAAACCTTTTAAGTATCATGGGTCATGACCACATTATATGGTTTGCCTTAGCTGTCCTGCATGACTTCATCTGCTGTGTGAACATATGAATGGTTTAGTCTGGGAGACTGAATCTGAGAGGTGGGCAGAACACTTCCTAGAGAATCTGTGGATACATGGTGACATGTATGTTGTTAAAATCTGATATTTAAGAATCCTTGAAATAAGAGCTCGAGCAGCTTGGCGGCTTGTTTTGCAAACCAAAGTTTTTGAGAATTGTGCTTATGCCTGGTAAGCAGATTCAGTATTTTTGCCATTGATTTCTGTGCTGGTTTAAAATTTTAGATACTCCTTGAGTTCTTTGCTGTTGGTCTGATTCTTTGGCCTACGACAGCTGAGTATCCCTTGTATGCAAGGATTGCTTAAACTGTCACAGTGTGAATTTTTTTAAAGGACTGATGTTCAGTATTTTAACGAAGTGTAGGTTTCTTGAAAGGGTTTGTTTCTGGTGCTCCATGCCCTTTGAAACTCAGGGCTAACCTAAGTGCTTGGGCTAATCTAAGCAAGAGTAGGTCACTGCAAAAGTTGCATGCTTGTGTAGTCTTTCTACCTCATGGTTAGTTCTGTTTTTTCTGACCTGTTGTCATCCTACTGTGGCTGAGTGGCTTCACTGGTGTGGGTTTTCCTGTTAATGTGCTGGCTCTGCTTTTCTACTTAATGTGAAAATCACTGGTAAATTTGCACCCATGTATTTTGAGAACCATCTGTTTTGTCAGCTGCTCAAGAGGATGTTTTCTTAGTGCACCTTGGTCTAGTTTATATGGTGTCATCGCTTTAGAAGCTTGATTTTGTGCATTTTCTAAGTGTGGATTGCTCAAAGCTGTCCTGCTTTACAACAGCAGGCTGCTGCTGTGACCTCAGTACTTCTAAAAAGGGGAGGAAAAAAGAAATATTGACGTTCCCAGTGACACTAGCTTTCTTTTGCCTGATTTTCTGAGACAATGTCTTTGCAGTCACTGCTTCTTAATGCGACTATTTAGACCTTGTGTGAAAACCTTCATTAGGATATTCGGTCTCAAAATTCACTTAGAGTCTCTGGAGACTTGTGTGTTTGATGTAAAAATAACCAGCCATTTCATTGAGATCAGAGCCTTCAGAATATTTTAATTAAGCACATCTGAATAAAATTAAATTACTCTCCAGGTACACATTCTTTTAGCGAAGTGGAAAATACTCTAAGCTGTAAAGTTGACTTCTTCCCTCCTTTTTCTTCCCTGTTCCCTCATTTGAAAGTGCAAACGAATATCCTGTATGTAGTAATTCTGAGAAGAGATCTGGGCAAAGAGTGATCCTTACAGAAGAATTAAATACTGTCTTTTAAGACAGCTTGTGTGAGAAGCTTCACATAGAAAATTGAAGAGGAAAAATTAACCTTGGTATTCTGCCTTTTTAAAGAGGCTGTGTGTATTAGTTGTTTAGCAGAGGTTGTTTCATGTTGGAGTAGCACTTGTGGACTCTAATCATCTTTTGTGATGCATGACTTGGGAAACCGTGGAGGAGAACCTGTTGTTCTCCATGTACTGTGTTAAAGAAACAGTATAGTCTCCAGGACAATCTGTTTTTTTCACACCTGTAGGCTGGAAAAATGAAGAAACTCTTGTCACCTCCATGAGCATTCTCTCCTTTAGCTGTTTCTAAAGCACTAACCAAGCTATGGCCTAGCTGAGAATTGACAGTTGAGTAGCTCATGGTATTGATGGAGTCTGGAATGTGTCCTTGACTGTTTTAAGATTAGATAATCTCAGAAATAAGGCAATAGGCAATTAGGAAGCTGTAGGTGTAACTGTGTGTTTTTCCTTTGCCAGGCATCTCCGATGAGGACATCATCAATGTTACTCTCCCCACTGGTGTGCCCATACTTCTTGAACTTGATGAGAATTTGCACCCTCTGGGCCCTCACCAGTTTCTGGGTGATCAAGAAGCTATCCAAGCTGCCATCAAAAAAGTGGAAGATCAAGGGAAAGTAAAATCTGTTGAGAAGTAAAATGTCACTGACTAATGAAGCTGTGTTCAAAGTGTGGTAGTAAGTGACAATGTATGTATGACTGCTGGGTTGTACTGTGTGAATGTCTCAATTTCAGGCACTAAATAATTGGAAGGGACAATTGTTGAGTCTCAGGTTGATAGCTTAACCCTTTGCCTTTTCGAAAACTGGACTTTAGATCACAGCATGAGGTTATCAATACTGAAAAAAGAAATGAAGAGATGATTCAGGTAATGGAAACTTGTAAAGCAGTCTGCCCCAGATCTGGGACTGAGGATGGCCCAGTACAGAAAAAAAGGTGTGTTATTGTTGTCCACCAACAATCAGTCCTAATCTGTTAAGGAGAAAAGCACCAGCTTACTGGACTAATTAAGCTAAAACTTTCTCACTGACAAAGTGGCACCAGATAACTGTTATCAACTGTGATTCTTCTGTGTCAGTGGCAATGACAATTTGTTGTGGATGGATTTCTCTCAGTCTTTCTGAATACTTCCAGTTGGACAACTCTCTGCCTTTGTTATTTTGAATCTTCCATGGCCAGTTCACGATCCAGAGAATTTTGTAGACATGTTCTGACTGTTAGTTATCCTATTTGTCTTTTGTTACACTATATTCCATTTTTTCAAAGGACTCTAGATGGAATTCCTTTTCCTCCACTACCTTTGCAAAGCCTAGCATGACTGCATTTTCCTGGCTTGCAATAATAGCATCTAACTCAGACTTAAGAACACAAAAGAAGCACAGAGGTTTCCTGCTTAGTGTTTAAGTTATAATGAAGCTCTCAGGGACCTGAATACCTTTGAAACACTTCTGTAACATTTAACTCAATAAAACTGGATATAGGAACACCCCCCCCACAAGCTTTCCTGAGTTGCAAAGATATCCTGATAAATATGTTCTACAGTAATATTACTGTGGCATTATCTGTATCAAATTCTCTGAAGGGCTGGAAGAGATGTATGAGGCAGGTAAGAAGTGTTACTGGGTGCAGCTCATTCAGCCATGGTGCTTGTAGGGAAGGATATTCTGCCAAGCCTGAAAGTGTTCTCCAATAAACCTCTCCTCACAATCATAGCTTGATTCCTGCTGAGTGTGGCCTTGCTGTTGTTTGGCACTGATTTTGACCAGTTCACACTGTGGTTGGATGTCGTGTAGCTCTGATGTTCTCTTTATGTACACAAGCATCGGGGTAATTCTACTTTTGAAGACTCACTCTTAATCTTACCTGCAAATATGATGCTGTTACTAAAATTTATATCTGACCCACTGTCACAACACCTGAGCATCTTGATTCTGACCTCGCATACTGGCATGGGTGTCATTTGTGTGTGTGCTGTTAGAGCTGAATGTTCTCAGCATGGCCCAGGTACAAATATTGATGTTAATGAGAATTTCCTTGATATGATGATAGTATAAACTTTTACAGTCCTAGGGTAGCTGCTGCTTTGCAGTGAGCAGCTCTGTAAACTCACTTTGTGAGAGGATGTTTTTTTGTTTTGAGGAAAGTAATGTGACAGTGTGGTATGCCTCTGACAGTCTTCCTGACACGTGGAGCAAGGCTTTCCGGGTCTGATGCCAGGTCAGAGTAGTGTAGCACATAGTTCATAAAAGATTTCTTGCTAGGAGGCAGTTTCTCTTGCATGAATTATGCTTGGGCTTCTCTTTGGTTTTGTTTTTGTAGCCCCTGCAGTATGAACAAAGTTACATGTTTCTCTTTTGAACGTAAAGCTGGTAGGTTTCCTCTTTCTTTGTACAAGAAAGGGTTTTTCAGTGTTTGTTTTGGGGTTTTTTTTGTTGTTTTATGTTTGTTTGTTTGTTTGTTTTTTCTCTGAAATATTGTTAGCAGCTTCTCTGCTTCTTTATTTGATACTGACTTACTCCTTTATGGGTTTTTAGTTTTCTGTGTGTAGAGTAACTCTGAATCTTAGTTGATACTTTACAAGTCAGTGTGACAGAGTTAGATTGTTGATCAGCCAGTGTTCACCTGTGAATGCCCTGGAAGGGCCTCTGGCACTCAAGTGATTACATTCTTCCCCAAACATTATATAAAGTTTACTATCAAGTAGAAGTTACTGTAGACTTGTAAACAAGACTAGCAGAGCCACCTGTTGTCAGTGGGAACTGCATGCATCCAGATATGAGTGTACAGGCCATGTCCATATCCCTTTGGCATTGTGGTATCGCAGCGTAGAACTTCTTCAGGACTTGATGTGCAGCTGGAATATATGTGGAAATTAAACCAGCTGAACTGGGAGATATGCTCTCTCTTCCCCTTCTCTTAGAGAACCCATGCTCTCTTCTGGGCCATGGAAAGGTGAGGTAGACAGGTAAATTTGGAGAGCATTATTATTTCTTCTTGCAGCTGAATGGATAAAATTGATCAAAACATCCTTTCAGAAGAGTCATGGGCAGTAAGAAGAGAACACTAATGTGATGTTTTCAGGTGATGCTGTTTTTACAGTGCTACTTAAGATGTGAACAGTGATAGTGCCCTGGGAAGTTTGACTTTGATTTTGACTCCAGAGTGATGACAATTTTACATGCACATCTGGCAGCAATAACACCTCGCGAAAGTATCGGATGGAACCAACTGGGGATTTCATTGTTCTCCTTAAGATTATTTTAACACCTTGCAATGCTTCCTTCTGAATAGCCTTTTAATTAAAATCCTGATTCATAAAACATGTATATTGAAGAACAGAAACCACCTTCCATCAACAGTGGCATAAAGATTGTTGATCTTCAGGCATAGCTACATGAGAGGGAGACGTGAGAGTCTTGCTGGTGACTTTAGAGATCAGTGGTTGGGAAGCATTTTCCCCATATTTGAGTATGCCTCAAAATCCTATAAGGTAACTGATGTTTTTACAGTTAACATAATAGATGGGTTAATTTGGTTTGTTTATGTATTTTTAACTTGTGGTTCATAGCAGTAATAAATCTAGATCCTCTTGAAAACCTTTGTAAATATGGAGGAGCTGGCAAGTTCTTTCTAGCGCAATAAATTCATCTGAAAATAGAATTCAACTTGACTTCAGTCTTTTTTTCCTTCTACTCCCATCCCCTTTGTCTCCTTTTCAGGGCTGATAACTGAATAAAAGTGACCTTCAGGGTTCCAAAACTCCTAAAACTGTTGTTGTTTGCACATCATCCTTCAATTAGGCTAAAATAGTGTTAGAGCCAACGTACCTCAAGTTTACATGTAAATAATTGGGCTGGAGGGAATACATACCTGTTCCAACATTTAGTTCCGGTACAGTGAATCTAAACAAATGCTTGCTGTTCCCCATGCTTGCTTTTCACTTTAATAAGAAGCATTACGTTTTGATGATGTGTTTAAAACTCTAGCCTCTGGAGACCAAGTCAGCCCCTTCACTTTGCAAAGTACTCTGGTGCCAAGCAGAGTTGTAACTGGAATGACAAGCACAAGGAACTACAAGCCTGCTGAGGGCTGTCTTTTGTTACTGACCTTCACACAGAAGGCCTTGGATGCTGGGGTAATGGGAAGCAGTGTGAAGGTCCTAAAAGTTGAATATTCAGATAGAAGTGGGAAGACACAGCAGTGTGGCTCAAAATGAATACATACTGAAGAAACCAATACTGGTCTTGTGATTGTGTTGAGAGTGAGTGGGGAATGGAGCAGATCTTTCTAAGCCATTTGTGTACTGATATTTAACACTTTGCAGTTAATGTGGCTGCCAGCCAATTCAAAATTCTATTGGTGTTTTAAGGTGCATTCCACCCTTTCCCCCAGTCACCTTTGGTACTTTTCTCTGCCTTTGTAACACCTCAGATTGTTCCAGAGTTGTGTCCACTGTTTCCTGTGCTGGGAGAAAACCACCCGAAGACTGGCTTGGTTTCAGTCCACCATACTTTTGTGCCAAGGAATTTGCTTTGAACTTGCTCTACACAGCCTGAGGAGAGACTGTTTCTACCTGGTCACACTTTCAAAATTCACACTTCAGGGTTTGTTTTTTTTTTTAATGGAAATTTTAGTCTGTGGTAAGTCTGTGGAAAGTGTCTGAGTGCCAGCTGAATATTAAACTGATCTGGCTCTGCCTCCACAAGTTTATGATCACCCTGTTTTGGAGCTGCTAGTTCTCAAAGTCCATAATAAATGACACTTGCCTTGTCTGTCTTCTGTGCTAGTGCTACCATCTCCTCAGTCTTAAATTCCCATGGGAAGGAAAGGAAGTTGACATGACAACTCAGCTGCTCAAGAAAGTTCAGAGCTAGGTAGGAACAGACTAGTGATTCAAATGAAGAACTGCAGAAGGATTTGAAAAGAAGGCATCTCCCTTTGAGAGCTGTGCCAATCAGGTGTTGCTGCCTCTTCCTTGTATTATGGTGGCCGAAGGTTCTGAAGGTGGGTAAATACAAAAGGAATTGAGCATCACATAGAGAGCAGAATGGCTGTGACATGGCACTACTCCCTCCTGCTGCCCTATTAGCTTGTTAGTCAACACCCAGGCCTTCCTGGGGCTATTCTAGCAGAATTTAGCAGCCAGGTTGTGTCCCAACTCTACAGAAGGAAGGGGGAGAGGCTCCCTGTTCTGGTTCTTCCTGTTATGCTGACAGAGCAGGGGAGGGCAGCAGATACCAGGCTGTGGATGTTGCTGTGCTGTAAAGTCCCACCCAGTGCAATGAAGAGGTCTGAAGATGTCTGATGGCTGTTTTGAAAAGGAGTGGGCTTTGACCCACAGCTCAGTTGGAGATAGTAATGTAGATGCTGCAGTTACTCTATCAGGCTCCAGAAGGCAGTCCTCACAGGACCCCTGGCAAGCATATGCTTCATTTAAAATAGCCATGTTTTTCCTCGGGTCTCCTTCAGCTCCCCCTCAGCACGGCATGTATTTCCTCACCTTCTGTCTGGCATTTGCTTGAAAGTATTAGTACATGTTAATTAGGTGGAAGAAATTCTTGCTTTCTCTTCTAGAAAAGCAGTATAAGTCCAGTGACAGCACATGCTTACGTTTTGGTTGCTGTTGGCCTCAGAGAAGCCAGGCAGGACTTTGCTGCCATCTGCCGTGTTGGTCATCTCTAGCTATTTGGAGCAAGCAAAAAAATGTATACACATGAAGCACCCTGCTGCTGCCAGAGCTGTTTAGTGGAAGTGCCTGTTTCTTTTAACGAAGGACATTTTTTTTCTTGTTCCCAGTGATAATCTAGCAGAAGTGCTGGAAAGTAGGAATATGCATGCGCAGTGAATCCCATAATCTAAATTTAGGATGCTTTGCTGAGGAGTTAACCACCTAGTGAATCCTGCTTTCCTGACAGACACTTGTCAAGCTCTCAGTAACTCTAATGTACTGTAAGTAAAGCTGAGGTTGTTCTCTAGGTTGTATCTGTGGCTCTTTGACTGTTCCTGAACTCCACAGATTTTTTTTTTTTCTGGGATCGCTCTGGAAGACAGTGATACTGGCTATGATAGGAGTGAGAAAGCAGGCATAAATATTCATAATTGTCCCTAAAGGCTCTTACACAAATTGCAGCTGTAGAAATGCAATTGGACAGCAGGGGGGGCAAGTGCATTGTGGTAAGTGTATGCGAGAAAATGGGACCAATTTTACACTCCTGTGTGCATATAGGGACAGCAAGCCTTAATCAGCCTCTCCTGAAAGACAGCACATTTTATCTCTGCCAATGCCACCCTATAGTTTATGGTGTGAAGATGACAGTTCTGGTGTGGAATAAATTGCAATCATCATCTAGGGTCGCTTGTACAGACTGTCAATTAGTCCTGCTTTTGTATTGCATCAGCAGCTTCACTAGAATAGTCAGTGTTGCATGAGAGAAGGAGCACATGCCAAATAAATAAAAAAAAACAAACCAGAACTTGGAAGGGGCCTTGGATTTCAGGAATCTGGCTTCAGATACTCTTGTACCAATTTTTTCAAAGGACAGTGCATTCTTCTCTCTCACCTGTTAGAGTTTTCCAGATGAGGAGATACCCTCAAAGTGCTTTATATCCCATTGTCCTCTAGTTCCTTATTAGCTGCTCTGTCCTTCCCTTCTGCCACCTTAGTAACTCAAATTCCACAGCAGCTTGGATTTTGGGACTGTTTTCTCAGCTTGGAAAACGTTAATCAGATTTGGTCAGAATCCACCTGAAATACTGGCATCTTTTTTCAGAACAGGACATAAATTAAAAAAAAAAAGTGAACACCAGCAAGTGCCAAAACATTTTCCATAGAAAGCTGCTGTCTATGTAATAAACAAATGCCAGTTATCTGAAGACTCACATAGTCCTTCACATTTGTTTGAGGAGTCACCACCTGGCTCTCAATGGTCCCATTGGCTACTGTATTTCTCACATCTTCTCAAGTCTGTGGTTTTGTCCTGTCCCCTGATGTGACCCTCCCCTAAATTTCTACATCCAACCACAAAGTAGCTCATCCAGCAGCTCCCATGCAGCCTTCTTCCATGACACCTTCTTCAGTGGTGTGCCCTGCCAGCTTCAGAGCTACTTATAAGAGGTGCATAGGTAGGAGGAGACAGGGTCAAATGTGGAATAGGTCTAAGAGGGAGATACATCTGAAAAAGCCTGAGAAGTGCTGTGCTGAGGTGTGGATTTCCAGCTGGATTACATTTTATGTTTTACAGTCCTGTCTGTATTCCTGTGCTGCACAGGGGAAAATGAGGATTTTTATATTTTAGCTGGAAAAAGCCACCCACATGAGAGAAATATTGTGACCTGTGTTCCTCTTAATAATTTTTATCTCCTTGTTCTGTTCTTTCTGTTATTTCAGTGAAACTCTCTCCCACCAGTGGATGCTCATGCACAGCATTTTTTTGCAGCTGACAAAGGTGGAGCTACTTGCATGGCAGGTCTATTGGAGGTAGTAGAAGGGTACTATGACTTGATGGGCTATTGCAGTGGGTTTCTGTTGTGCTTGGGCCCAGCAGTGCTACACAACCAATGAGTTTTTACTGCTGTGACTTGCCAAAGACTAGTCTGTGCCTCTGCCACTGCTGGTGAGATTTGTGGTTGTTCACCACCTCATGGATCAGGTCTTTTGTTAATGATATACCTAAAAAAAAACCATCATACAGGCGCTACTTGATGTTAATTCTTTCAGGGTCCAAGGGTAGTGTGCCAGGATTGAAGAAGAATTGGTTGAACTAACAAATGGAAAAATCCATTACAGAAATATTAGGGGTGCTATATTACATATGCTTGTACTCTGAAAAGGATAAGCTAAGAACTGTCAAAACACTGTGCAATCTCTTTTGCAGTTTTATGTAGCTTTGATTTGGTTTTCAAGGGAGATGAGAAAAAAGGCTGGTTCATAAAGCCTGGTTATTTGGTCTTGGTTCAAAAGGTGCTTAACAGCTTTGCCTCCTATGTCCCTGTTTTTAAATGTGTTACGCACAGTAATTTCCACTGAACTCAGCATTTTTGTAAAACCAGGTCACTTGAAGAGCTGCCTACTGCGTGTTGAGAGTGGGAATATGTGATTTTGTCCAGCTCTCCAGGACAGCGTGGGGGAAAAGGATGGGGGAGGTCCAGTTGCTAGACAAGTTGCTTAGCCCTCATTGTGTTCAACATGTCCACTGATGACTGCAGAACTCCTGACCGAAAGCACAATAGTGGATCTAACTCTTAGCACTCACGTTTTGCTGTGTTCACCTTGGTTATTATAGCCTGGCATCCTGATCCTTGTTTTCCTGGCAGCAGAAAGTGTGAGTCCTGCTGACTGCAGAGGGAGAGGGCCAGACTTTCCACAAACTCTTTTTTCCCCTGGATGCAGAAATAAAGAGCAGACTTTGAAATGCAACCTTCATATCTTGTCAGCATGTTTCTTGCTAGGTTCCTGGGAGGGCCCTTAAAGACAGCAGCCTGGATGGACAGACAGGAAGAGGGCTAGACGTTGCAAAGCCTGAATAATCCTGAATTCTAACCTCGTCATCAACCTAATGGAGCTCTGAGTAATAAAATGAGGTTTCTGAGAAAGCTTGAGATTTCTGCCTCACCTTCTATTTACGAAAGTTTTGTGCTTTTTAATTTTGCAATGTGCTTAAAAGAT